TCCTCTTCTTAAAATAAGCAACAGTGTAGTCTAAGTGTATCAGAAAAGCTGAAAGTTTGCAATTCAAGATAGGAACCTGGACTCACTCCATTAACCAGCATCCAAATAATTGCTCTGTTGCTGAAGCTCTTCCTCCTTAAAGGAGGCGTTATCACAGCAACAGCATCTTTTCGTAGACCTTAAGACCTTTTACAAAATATTGGCAATAGAATCCCTGCAAGGCTCCAGCTATCCGATTTACACTCCAGAATAGTCTGTTCACTTTAGCTAATTTACATGGAGAGGTTAGCCTCTCAGCTTGAGATACAATCTCAAATTACTTCTTTGGAAATTGTGAAGTCATATGATAGAGTTGTAAGGGATGGTAGAAATTATTTATTCCCACCTTACCATTTTGTAGATCTAGAAAGTGAGGTCCCTGTAACTAAAGAAGTCTCAGCTCAGAGTTTTCAAGGGACTTGCTCAGAGGCACCCAGCTAGTAAATAATGGAGTTCAGACTTTCTGATTTCAGTCCAAAGGTTTTTCAACACAGCTTCTCTGATGAGTACCACAAACTGATGTGGATGGGAAAGAAGAAAGGTAAGACATAATCCTCACCCTGGGTTACTTCCGTTTACCTCAAGGTTCACTGTGATGAATCCGGCAGGGCTCTGGCTCCTTTAAGCCATATGGGAAATGATAAGGTTAATGACAGATTAACACCATTCATTAAAACTCAGGAACAGTGGAAGTCCTCACTGATATCATGCCAAAGAGGGAAAGGTTATTAAAGGTGATTATGCAGAAGCATGTAGGGATTTGTACATTTCTGAAACTTAATGAGACTCAGTGAGACAATAGCTTAATCTTGGAGCCATTAGGCCACTAACAAATACTGTACTAGGACTCTGTCTCTATTTGACTCATTTAATGCTATTCTCTTAGCCTTTGCCAGCTGCACTAAACATTTTGTAATAGCCTGTATACCCATCTCATGGAACATTCCAGAGTGCACATCCTCTTCATATTAACCTCCAACATGCTGGGGGACTTTCAGCCTTGAAGAATCCATACTTTGTAAAATTGACATTCATGAACAGGTTTTCTGTTCATATCACTGGATTAAGATAAATACACCAATTTGTTAGTCCACAGTATACAATCTGGTACCTGTATCTGGTACATATAACTGTATACTAAAACTACAAATTTTGGCTAATTGTGTTGGCAACCAACACTGGGAAGATCAAAGTCTATAGAGTTCTGAAGTGTAAGATACACTTACTGTAATATAAAACTCCATACAGTCACTGAAAACAGGCAGTATTTTATTATTACCACATAGTATATTCTGCTTTTGATCTTAACAGAATTTTGCTTTTCTTATTCCATCTACATATGAAAAAAAGTGAGGTCCGAGAGCACAAGTAATTTTTCTATACCTGATTAGGGGTAAAATCAGACCTAGTTTGAACTTGTTATACTGCTTACTAAACTGACTTTTCCTCCTGACTTTCCTGTTTTTGAAATGGCACCGTCATTCTCCTGTTTACCTAGGGTCAAAATGTCAGTATTCCTTGGTATGCCTTTTTCTCTGACCTCCCATATCGAATCCCTCTCCAAGTCCTGCAAGTCTTAACCTTGAACTCCCCCTCACACCTATTTTATCCTTCCCATTCCACTGCCACCAACATCATTTAGACTCATGATTGAAGCAAGGGCTCAAGGTAAAGGAGAGTATACGTTGGGCACATCTCCTCTTTGGCGTGGCAGAGGTGAGATGTCTGGGGTCCTGACCCTGTGCCAATGCCATCTTGACCCATCCCTCTGCACCCTTTAATATGACTTACAGAATCTGGGAGACCTAGTCCTAGGTCTGTGGACCTACCTGCCACTGGCACTCTCCTTTGCTTAGTGCCATGCTGTACCAACTGATTCAGCAGAAGCCCTCTGGGAGGTTGCCTTCTCCTGGGGGTAAGGGAACCAAAGACTGGTCCACCATCTAAGCACCCTTAACTCAGCATTATTTTACCTAGAGATGAGGAGAAGCTGAACTCAGGAGAATGAAATGATTATTTCTGCAAAATAACTAGCTGCAGACTTTGGTGTTGGGTTTATAGGGAATCCCATTCCAGGATGCATCCTCTCAGAATGCTCTTTAAATCCCATCACACAGGTAGCTCTTGTAAAGGATTGTTTACTCCTGTAAGGACCAATCCTGAAAGGAAGACTCCCTCTGATAAGATGACATTTATTCTTAGATGACAAAAATCTCAAAAATCTGATTAGTCAAAATATGAGTGCAGAAGCTGATAATGCAACTGTTTCTTGAACATAACCTTTATTATTTCAAGCACATATCATATTGTAATGATTTGTTTACTTGTCTCTCCTCTGCCTGAGTTTGAATTCTGACTGTGACAGTGACCAGGTGTCACTCTGGTAAGCTCTTTAACTGTGTTATGCCTCAGTTCCACATCTACGAAAGGTAGCACCTACGTCACAGAATGATCATGAGAGTTAAATCGTGTGGTTTGGTTTTCTCTCCCTAGGGCTGGCCTAGTACCATGCCCGGCTCATGGGTACTCAATGATTATTTGTGAATTATTTTACTAGTGGAATTTTCTATGCACTTGTTTGGAAGGCCAAGCTTAGAGAATCTGTCACATTACAAGCTAGTTTGGGGAAAAGAATGTGACCAAAGGATACTTTTCCATTAATCAGTCTGAGCTGATGATAGTGTCTGTCTAAAAAGAAGTTGAAACCAGAAAAATGTTTTGAATAGTGTATGACAGCGCTTGGGTTATCTCTATTCCCATATTTGGATGGTTTCTCAGAATTGCCTCCTGTGTCCCATCCAAGATGGCTAGAAGTTTTTAAAATTTCTTCCTGGTAGTTGTGGACTATGGGCACTGGACATGTTCTATTGTCTTGTTCAGCCTCATGCTGTCTCCCTCTGATACCCCGAGCATCTGGAGCCCTTATACTTTATTGGTCATGCTGATACACATTGTCTTAGGATATTTATAGTTGTCATAGTTTGTCATTTAATTATTATAGGTTCACTTTAAATTTCAATTGGCTGTAGTTCTTATTGGGAAAGGCTAGAGGCTTATTTCTCTTTCCCTCACAGGAATGTGTAAGAATGGTGAACCGTTTTCTAATTGACAGGTCTGAAATTATGTTTGTCCCACACATTTGGAAATGTCATTTCTGAAAGGAAAGCTGTTGAATAGCTTTCTCTGGAGATCTTTAAAAAAACCTAGTTTCTCACCTGATTGGGGTGATTTTGAAGTGAGGTCTTCTAGAGCAATAAAATGGTCTTTGTTTCTGATACTGGAATTATTTGAATGCACATTTGAAAATAATGTGTTAAAAGTACAACAGGATATTTTATGGCAGGACAGTCTATTCAGAGGATGGGCTCAGAATCAGGCCAAGGATATAGATACATGGAAATACGTTCTTCATTCAGAAACCAGAAGAGACAGGTAGGGGGCAGTTATGGAAGCAAGAGCACTAGCTCTCAGGCAAGATAGCAGCCATGTTGGCTTGGCCTTGGAAGTCCAATTAACTGAGTGTGGCAGAGAGCAGGTGTACTAGTTTTTCATCACTGTCCTAACAACAGCACACATTTGATGGCTTAAACAACACACATTTTTCTCTAGGTCAGAAGTCTGGTACAAGTCCTATCTGGCTAAAATGAACTTCTCCATCTAGAAGTCTCTCAGGCATCTCAAACTTCATATATCTCAAATGGAGCTTCTTTTACAATGCAAACCTGATTCTTTTACTGTCATCCCCATATAATTAAATACCAATTCCATTCTAGAATTGCTCAGGTCAAAAACTCTGGACTTGTCCCCAACTCCTTTCTTATAAGCCCCAGTCAGCAAATCCAGTTGATTCTACCTTCAAAATTATATAATCAGAATCTGATCATGTCTGACTGTGTCCATTTTGGATTCCTAAAGCAGCATTTTTAACTGGTTCTGCTGCTTCTACTCATGTCTCATGTGAATGTGTCTTCTGCACAGCAGCCAGAGCAGTCCTGCTAATCCCTAAGCCATCTCTGTCACTCCTCTGCTCCCACGACCAACCAATCGGCCCAGCCCTAGACCCCTGTGTCCTCCAGAAATGCTCCTTGTCTGCTTCATAGGCTGTTTGGACCCGTACTTCATTAGGCTCTCAGAGTTTCCCGCTTGTCCATAGCCATGGGCCATCCTTAGTCAGAGAGATACACCCAGGTCAAACAGGGGCATCTGATCCCTGCACACCCTCTGACCCAGCCTGGCCTGTCCCAGCCTCAGTGACAGCCAGCAGAGTCTGAGACAAGGGCCTTTTTTTGTCTGACTCAAAAAGCTGATAGGAAGAGATTTCCCCACAAGGTTCCACACTCCTCAAGCCAAGAACAAGCCCAGGGGCATCATCTGGTGCTGCTGCTCTTTCGCCTGGTCAGGTCAATAACTGAAGCAGCAGTTGCTGCTGAAATACAAACCAGGTGTTGGGGCTTGAGGAGGGGGCAGATGTTCTTAGAAAAAGAGAATAGGAATATTTTATGTTAATCATCAGATTTCTAACATCTTTCTGCTCAACTGGCCACACTCCTGGGGATTTTGTGCAGGACACAAGCATCTTTGAGAACAACGGTTACCCGCTGTTGAATTCAGCAGCTGGTAATGAAGAGAAGGATGCAGACAAAGCCTTTCCTTAAAGGATGTCAGGGTAGGCATGGTGAGGTATTTGCCCGTGTTCCTTCCCACATTGTTCTCGGTGCTGAGACAGTTCAGTTCGTGTGTTTAATTGAAATGACACATTTAAAAAAGTTAATGCACGTATCAAATGACAAATCACACACAGATAAGGCCTAGAAAACACACATTTTATTATTACTGGAATTCAGTATCAGCACAACCAAGGGTTGGTTGAACTGAGGAGGGGCTTAGAAGGGCCAAGAGCCCTCTGGACAATCTGAGGGGGCAGCGCGGTTGATGTGCTGTGTCCTGTTCCTGTCTGGTAGGTCATTGCTTGTGAGCAGCAGTTCGAGTCCTCCTATGACGCCCGCTGTGACGTCTGGTCCCTGGGGATCACAGCTATCGAGCTGGGGGACGGAGACCCTCCCCTCTTCGACACGCATCCTGTGAAAACACTCTTTAAGATTCCAAGGTAGGACACATGATGGCGCCCTTGGCTCAGTAGTTCTTCGTGAGAGGCTCATGGAGGGATAATAAATTGTAAACAATTTCTCTCCAAACCTGAGAAAGCCTGATTTAAAATGTATTTCTTTTTTGATGGAAGAGGATTTTCCTGAAATATTACAACATATCCCAAGGAATAATAGAATTATGTTGTAACAGTTGAATATTTTCAGTACTCTGGTCTCTCTGAGATGTTCATTTTTTGTACTTTGCATGAGAAAACATGCAATTTTGGATTAAGTAATCTGTCTAAATACCAGTGTTTTCTTTTTATTATATAATCATGTCTGGTCATTTTTTCCTGTTTGAATCTTTCTCTCATATTCAGGAAAATTTGGGGATAAAAAAATGTGTATCATATTTTTGCACCCATTCAGATCAGCACTAAAAAATATTGGAAATACATCAGTCATATGACTTTCTTTTCATCCCTTGATTTTTGTCTCTATGGAAAATTGTGCTAAAACAAATCTGTTTGGAGGGTATTTAAATGCCAGTGTATTTTCTATTGTGTGTGTTCATTAGAGGTTCATACACGAGATTTTGGTTGGTTGTTTTTCATTAGAATCAGGCTGATGCCTGGCCAGTTCAGGGCTCTAGTTTGAGAAAACAAAGCTCTCAGAGAGCTGCACCAGGCCAGGCTGCAGGCTAAGACATTTGTACTTTCCACTTTTCTCTTCCAAAGGAAGGCTCGGGGCTGGCTGGGAGGCATTTAACTGCTTTAACAATACAAGCGTTAACCTTTCCTTATCTGCCCAATCACACAGCTATCACAGCCTTTAAGACTTTCTCTGATTGCAATTTGCATTTCTGATTAGGTCTATTTATATGCAGATGAACTCTGTAGCGGTTTTTCATCATAATGTTATCGTTTCATGCCCTATCCAGATGTGAACAACCACCCACCGTTATTTCAAAAATTCCCACCCAAGTCAGGGTCGGTCCTTGTTCCTTTTCCAAAGTATAAAAACAGATCATGGTGATTAGAAGAGCAGACAAAGCTTCTGTTTTTTATAAATTAATAGTCTGCTAAATGTCCAAAATGATGTAGTAAGAATACAGGACCCCCAAATAGTGCTGTATATAGTAATTGTCAGAAAATGAGAAATCTGGGATGACTTTTATGTATGCTTTGATTTTTTACAAATGCTTTACTCTTCATCATTTATTTACAGTGACCATATAATTTCCCAAATACCAGAATTAAGGTATGGCTTTGACTACCAAGACACGTATACTTTTGATAAATATCATCTGCTTTGCTTTTTTTTTTTTTAGTATGTATTTGTGTACAGACCAACTGTTCAAAAATTTCATAGAGTGATAAATGTTATTCAGCTTAGAAGGCGTGTGTGTTTAAATAGACCCTTCATCTTCAGTGACTCCTTTTAGCTTGCTTCTGTGCTTAGCTGTTCCTCTGATCTCCAATAATCTCTGTACTTCACTCCCCTCACTTCTTCCATCTCAGGAGATCTTCCAGATCTGAGTCACAAATAACCAAGCTCCCCACTGCCTTCCTCAGATCAGGGCAAACCGCCGGAATTGGAGAATTGTTAAGAAAGGATCTTAGGGCAACAAGGATCCTTATCCTAATGTAAGTTGAAGCTTTCCTTCCCTCCTAGTGTAATCTTCTACCCTTTCATTACCTCTTGGTTCTTGTGTGCCTGATGAATCAGATAGAACCAGGGAATGACCACAGTGATCAGTCAGCAGGCCCTCAGGGTGGTGTGCGTGCTCAGTATGTGCGTGGACACAGCCTGAATGGCCAACTTGACATTCCTGGGCAGGAAGGATGGAGGGTTTTTGTTCTTTGCTTTTTTTTTTTAATAGCATATTTGCATATGCTGCACAGGTTTTTTGACTTACCAGGTTATTTACTTAAATATTACCCTGTTAGTTAGAATCATGTAGTTCTCTTATGAAGGGCTGTGGATTGACCAAGTGTGTGTGTCTACGTGTGTGTATGTATATACTACCTCAATTTTGAGTGCTAAAATGTATGCATTCCTCAAGAAAGTTCTTTGATGGTGAGAAGAGAAATAAACATTTCAAACAGGCACTTACATTTTAAATAGGCACTCAGATTATTTACCTGTTCCATTTGGATCTCTCTCCCTCTCTCATCCTCTCTCAGCACTCTTTCCTAATGGAGAAAAGCACATGACAAATAATGCCAAAATTCTTTGAATCCACTTGGCTTCAGGATTTTTCTTTTGCTGTTTGTTCATGACTGTTTCGGTGGTCTGGAACTCTGTTCAGGGAGACACTGAGGACTGTTTCAGAGTACTCTGGGCTCCAGAATGCTGTGTTTGGCGCCCTCCTCTGGCCTTCCTCACTGACCTCTTCCCTACAACCCTTTCCTTACTGGAAATAAATTGAGTAAGTTACCTAATATGGGAAGAAAAGAAAACCTTTATTGAGTCAGGGAAGAAGTGACTTCGATGAGTTACAAAGGATTTACAAATCCATGAGGCGCTGGTTGCACATGAGGTGAGAGCCTCAGGGGTCAACAGCAGGTGATTCCCAGGCTCCCAGGGCACTGTCAGGAACCACGAAGCGAGACCTGCCTGGACATGGTTGGTCTGCCAGCAGAGAGGTCTCCTTGCTCTTCCCCTCTGTCCTCTACCCACCTTCTCCTCTCTTGACCTTCACATTAGAAGATGACATGGAGAGTAATTGTGACCTGTGTTCCAACTACTACATGACTTGCAATCTTTCCTACACTGCAAACACATGGAAATTATCTGCTGATTGTCAGAGCACCCACCATTTGCTGAATCTGTCAGCATGTGTCATCTTGTCTAAGGCCTTTGCTCCAAAAAGTCACCCCTCTCTGAGGGGTTACTGCTCTTTCTTCTGCTCCTTCTCTCCAGGAAAAGAATGAAAACCATATCTCTGGGCTTCAGTGGGTTTGACTTCTTTCTCATCACTCTCTCCTGAGGACTCCTTAAAATTCCAAAGGCTTACAAAGGTTTTGTAGATGACCTGGATATCTTCTTGGCTTAAAAGGAGATCTGTTTCATAGATGTAATTGCAAGAATCCACAGCTAGGAGAAATATACAATTTTATTAGTCTCTTGGCAGCCAAGTATCTTTACTTAGCTCAAGTCTTTGGCTAATGGCCTCTTTGACTTCCATTGACAGGGGATAGGAAGGCAGTTGAGACCAGTGAAGATGTATTTACTGAACAAACATGGAGCCATCTTGCCTGCCCATATATCTGGGACCAGATAGCGACTGATTCTGTCCGGTATCTTACTGCACATTGGGTACTTCCACATCATGACTTTTGGAAAACTGTAGAATGTTTTCAAGATTCCCAGAGGAAACATCCTTGTCTGGGAGTGGGTGGGACAGAATGGCCTGAGCATCACAGTCCCTGAAGCCAGTAATTATCCCTTCCAGAAGAGAAGTGTCCCTGCAGCATATGATTTGAGAAAAGGAGATCTCGTGATTATCACCAATTCACAGTTGAACTTGTTTTCCTCACCAGATGTAGGTCGTTCCAAACTGTACCCAACTATATTAGTTGCCTAGGGTGCCTTAAAATAACATACAATTTTCTCTCACAGTCTAGAGGCCAAAAGTCCAAAATCGAGGTGTCAGCAGAGCCATGCTCCCTGTGAAGGCTCTAGGCGAGCATTCTGGTGCTTGGGTCTGTGGCACAGTGACTCCAGGGCCTGCCTCCGTTCACGGGGCTTCCTGACCTGTCTTTGTGTCTTCCCCCTTCCTGACTCATCCAATAAGGTTGCTCATCATTGGGTTTAGGGGCCATCCTAATCCAGACTGATCTCTTCTCGAGATCCTTGTTTTAATTCCATCTGCAAAATACTCTTACTCCAAATGAGGTCACATTCTCAGGTGCCAAGTGGACATATCTTTTGGGGGGCCACAATTCAGCCCACTATACCAACCAACTTTCTGTTTACCAGATTCCCTGAGAAACTAATTTGAGGACAAAATATAGGACAACTAACTAAATGATGATAGAAAAATAACAACAGCTTAGATTTATTGAGTGCTGACTATATGACAGACACAGCGCTGTGCGTTTCACAAATGTAAATGTATTCAATCCCTACAGTGACCCTGTGAGGTAAGTACTATCTCCACTCTTTTTTCTAGAGGAGAAAACTGAAAAGTCATGGAGAAAGTTCCTGGGCATGCACTTAGGGGGGAAAAGTTATTTAAATCTGAGGAGTTTAGCCCACATGTTTTACAAGTATATTGAAAAGTTAAAGCCCTTCCTTAAGTTATGTTTATTTATCTAAGAATTATAAATTGAGCAACAAGGGAACTGGAGTATATAGAAATGAATAGGTTGTCCTAGCCTTTAAGAAGCTTATAATACAGGATCCTTCTCCATATTCCCAATTTTAAACTGGCACAGTAAACCTGAGAGCCATAGAATTCTATTCTCATCAGTGACAGCATCAGTTAAGAAACTGAAGACCAGGGAAATAGTGTCATCACGGGTAAGCGCAGGCCCTGCTTGGCTCATTGATTTGTGGCCCCCAGACCAGAAATCCCTCCCTTCTCCAGACTCCCCTTAAAGCAACTTTCTGTTGCCTTTGGGTTCCTAATTTAAAACACCTAAGACAAATGTCTAAACTAAAAATTTGCAGGTCATATTTTAGTTATGTTAAGGTACAGAGGCATTTCAAGTCATCATCACTGGTACCCAGAAGTTTTGCACATAGATAACAGGGTATATGTAAACCATTTTCTTGGCACCGTTCTTATGTTCTCTGGGGGCTCAATAGAGAGGAATGCAAATAGTCACCAGTTGCCAGCCAGGGCCATTCCCTACAGCAGTGAGTCTCATCTGGGACAGGGGTCCTTCATCCTAGGTACAAGTTAGAATCCCCTGGGAACTTTCAAAATACTAGTGCCTAGGCACCATCTCCAAGATTCCAGTGTAATTTGTCTGGGGTCAAGCTCAGCATTTATGTAAATACATAATTAATC